TTTTTCATCTATTTGTTGGAAGTATTGTTACTTATAATTAAAAATATATATATATATATATATATATATATATATATATATATATATATATGAATTGATAAATTATACCTTTAGTACTTGTAAATGATTACTTGTGTCAGCAGTTAATTCATTAACTTAAAAGATCCCATGTTGTTTCCAACGCTTAAAAGGGCCACAAGAAGTTTGTCCTTCATCAAAATACATGCATTTTTCATAGAGACTGACTATATTGTTGCTCTCTGACATTTTTTATTTAACTTTTATTTTTTATTTTATTATTACTTATTGAATAAACAAAAGATAACAAACAAAAAAACGTTATTTCGTAGTTTCTCATCTCATGCTATGGCTATTTATTAAATTCATGTGCCAATTCTTCGAGAGGAATGTGTGTCCAAGGAAATAGTCTTGCAATCATTAATGATTGTTTAAAGAAAGTATTACAAATGACTGTCAAAAGGGAATTGCTTGTGTAGCAATCATTACAGTTATTAAAAAAAGTGTCTTAATGTCACTTCCTTACTTTGGTTATTACACTTTTGCCATCGCATTCTTTGAACCTATTGTTGCGCATTTTGTTACATTAAAAAATTGCGCATTTTGCGCATTTTGTTACATTAAAAAAGCTTAGAATATAATTTTTATCAAGCACTCTTATGCAGTTTCGTTATAAAAATGTCTTTTTTATTTATTTTTAATTAGAGTACTAATTATTAAAGAGTTAAAGTAGCTGTTACTAAGCATATCTATGTCGTTGCTAGGGTATTTTGTCGGTTAAGAATATGGCAAAATTAGACTATTTCTAGGACTTCTCTAGGCTTTTTATCGCTTGAGCACATGGATTTTTTTTCAGATATTGGAAGATGCATTTATAAGGAAACGAAATAACTTAATCATTTCATGGCAGACCTAAGGCCACGATTGTTATTTGTAATCTAACAAAGCGCATTAAACGCGAAAACTCATTATTGGAAGCTTACTCCTTCCCAGTCTCTTACATACTCATGATTTTTTTTCTCTATAAAATCAATGTATACCTTATTGGCTATCAAAAACAATTAAGTAAATTATGTGCAAGTAATGGCCTTAAGAGATATAAATGATCAAAGTACGGGTCAAACTTAGCGGTTTTGAACCGTGATTTCTAGACAACAAAGTGTAAACATTTTGAATTTTTAATTAAAGCAGAGAAATCCAGCCAGAGTAATATCTCGGCAAATAATGGGAGTTTTTGAAAAAAAATTTAACTGTGACCTAATTTCATTGTGTTCTATAAAACATCTGAAATTGAAGAGATTTTGAAGACATCACTTCCAGACTTTGCCTATCATTCTGAGATCAATATCTCAGGGCTCTTAAAACAATAGTATAGGCTCTTAAACAATAGTATACAATAGTAAAATAAGGTATTGTTCTTAACTATAAAGTAAAAATTAGTAATGTCCTTAACTAAAAAGTAAAAATAAGTATTATCACTTACCTATAAAATAAAGATTATCAATTACCTATAAAATAACCAAAAAAGTAAATTGTTTAAGTTTACGTATACGTACGTCATGCGTATATCTTAACGGCAAATAAATTGCAATAAGAAAAAAATAGATACCAAGTTATTGGTAAATTACAAACTAATTATAGTTAATAATTGCAAAATACTAAAATGATTAAAAAATTTAAAGATAATGAAAACAATAAAGATAATAAAAAGTTTTAACATTGTAATAGAATTATAAGTAAATGTTTTTGTTATGGCATTCCAACTAATCTTTATAGTGTTTGCCAGTTGCCGAGATGGCAGTATGTTTAAAACTAAAATACTAAAGGTCTAAACACACTGCTATATTAGAGATTAATGTAAGTATAATACTAAGATATCAAAGTAACTTTCGCTTGGGTGTTTTTTGACACCCCGTCAGTTATTCGAAGTTTTTCTTTGACTCAAGATACTTCCAGTGTATCTTGAGTCAAAGAAAAACTTCGAATAACTGACGGGGTGTCAAAAATTATCATTAAGAGTCTAGTCAATTTGGAGCAAAGAGATAAAAGTTAAGTTTTGAGAAGCATGATTCCGTTGATAAAGCTGTATATAAATGGTTTATGAACGCATGTAAACAAAAGTACCAATTGATGAACACTTCATTAGGAAGAAAGCTTTAGATTTTGCAAAAGAACTCAACATAACAGATTTTAAGGCTTCAGAATGGCAGCTAGATGGGTGGAAAAATAGACTTAATATTGTTTTTTGAACTGGTGAAGAAAGGTCACCCACAATCCTCTCAAGAGATCTGCTTGAGGGATATTTACAACGATATCCAGTTTGGTTTATTTTATCAACAGCTTCCGACAAACCTTTTACCTAATAGGTGAACAATGTACAGGAAAAAACCTGACTGTGTTGATAATTGGAAAGGAAATAAAACCACAATGTTTCAAAGTTGTCTAAAGCCTACCTTTTGAGTAAAAGTCACAAAATAAATCCTGGATGAACTCTAAAATCTTTACTGATTATGTTAGAAGTCTTGTCGCGAAGCTCAATGAGGTAGGTAGGAAAGTTGCTCTAATCATCAATAACTCCTCAGCTCATTCTAATCTTGACAACATCATAGCAATTAAAGTAATATTTTTACCACCTAACACAACCTCAACCATAGGACCAGGGAGTTATAAGAGCATTAAAGGTTTTTTGCCTCACGAATGTTGTGAGGTGTCAGATCCAATAGAGCAATGTTGGTAAAACGCCTCTAAAGATTAATATTCTAAAAACTATGAACATATTGGTATTGACAAACACCGTAAAGAATTGCTATAGAAAGGTAGACAGCTTGCAGGAAGTACAGATTGCAAAAAAAAAATGTTGATGCTGATCCTTTAAAATTAATTGAAGAAAGCGTCAACAAGCTAAGATCACGTAATTTTTTAAATAAAGAAATTTGCTGTTGACGATTACGTAAATATAGGTTTGGAGATCTGTACAAGTGAAACAATTGCTATTATAGATCCAGAAAATCTGGATGTCATTTTAATTATTGATTGCATTGAGGTAGAAGAAGAAATTGATAAATTGTTGATTTGAAAACCCAAAGTTATCAGAGATTGCGCAATACTTGAATTTTAGTCTTTTTTCAAAATCCAACGATCACTTAGCCTCAAATCAAAGATGTTTGACAAACACTCTTTAGAAACAAAAAACCAATTAAAAATAGACAATTTTTTTCTCCAAAAAATTAATAATATTTTAAATAGTCTCACAAGTATAACCTGTTAAAATTTGGCAGTTAACTAATTAAACTTTGTAGGTATAAATTTATTCTATATTAATTATTATTATTATTATACATATATATATAATATATATATATATATATATATATATATAT